AATCTTTGAACAAGGTCGGCCTTTTGTGTCAGTTCAATCATTTCAACCAGATACGAGTTCTTGTAGAGCCTGAGCTGGAGGGTGTGGACAAGATGTCAGTATCGTCTGATTGAGCAGACACTGCTTCTTCAACGGCGGTAAAGATGTATTCTTGGACACCATCATCAGGCATTGGGATGACCTTGATAGTTGTCAAATCTTCAAGGTCAGCAGTGGATGTCAGGTTGACTAGTGCATCTCCAACGTCTCTGTCTTGATATTGCATTCTCAAACCTCCACACACTTTCCTGACTTCATCAGTAAGCTGCTCCATTGTCTCTGGGATGCCATTAGGCAGAACTAGCTTCCTGGAGTCATCGGGATTCACAAGAATTCTCAACTTGGCTGGCGTTTTCACGGTCATGTCAGGCAGCCCCAAAGGAACTAGAACAAACAAGAACATAAACAACTATTAGTAATAGTGATACACTGAAAGCAAACGTCTCTCTTACAATAGTGACATGCCTGGAATGACAGAGCAAATGATTGCCTAGATATATTATCACTTGAGATTAGAGTAGAGTAAGTCTCCATTTTGGGTTTGTCATTCCTTTTTAAACGTACATGAAAACTACATACAGTTCATTTTGGAACTTACCAAATCAGCATAAATGGTGACCTTCAGCGGAAACAGCAAACCAGTAAACACAAAGGAAATACATAAATAAGGTGTATTTAAACGATGTTAACCCAGCATAAAGCACACACCCTCAAAGCATGGTTAACAAGACGGGCAGCGGGTTGTTTGTTTCCCCCCGTCCCCACTGTTTACAGCCCACTCTCCGGAGCGGCGTGGTCCGAGTGCGGGTTGCTGCAGAGCAGAGATACACCTTCAGCCACATAACTATAGCGCTCCCGGAGCTTTAATAACAGCTCGCCAAAAGTATAAACATCTCTAACCAACACACTCTCACTCCCTGAGCGTCCAGGAGCGACGCTTGGTCAGGGTCCTGAGCGTCCAGGAGCGACGCTTGGTCAGGGTCCTGAGCGTCCAGGAGCGACGCTTGGTCAGGGTCCTGAGCGTCCAGGAGCGACGCTTGGTCAGGGTCCTGAGCGTCCAGGAGCGACGCTTGGTCAGGGTCCAGAGGCGTCCAGGAGCGACGCTTGGTCAGGGTCCTGAGCGTCCAGGAGCGACGCTTGGTCAGGGTCCTGAGCGTCCAGGAGCGACGCTTGGTCAGGGTCCTAAGCGTCCAGGAGCGAGGCTTGGTCAGGGTCCTAAGCGTCCAGGAGCGACGCTTGGTCAGGGTCCTGAGCGTCCAGGAGCGACGCTTGGTCAGTGTCCTGAGGCGTCCAGGAGCGACGCTTGGTCAGGGTCCTGAGCGTCCAGGAGCGACGCTTGGTCAGGGTCCAGAGGCGTGCAGTTGGGACGCTCCGAGGCTCCTTCAGCTTCATAAAGGGACGCAAATAGCTTTCAACTGATTGCAATGTATTCCCATCGGCGGCGGGATTTGACGCTCATGGAAGCACGGCATTCGTTTGTGTCGGAGGCTGTTAAAGGCAATGTGAGCGTCCATTCCCATTGGATAACGGAGAATTGTACACCCGGAAGTAAGTATTCCCCTTACTGTGGATTGATTTGACAGAGATATCTCCACTACTCATCAACTCAGAAACACCAGATTATCTTGTTAATTAAACCACATTGATAGGTTTTAGTGTGCAATGCTTTTGTCACGTGTTCCCCTTCGATTCTGAGAAACAAGGATTGTGGGTAATGTAGTGTCTTCGGCCATCCAAAACTCATAGAGAACGACTTGTTTCTCAGAATTGAAGGGGAGAACGTGACAAAAGCATTGTACACTAAAACCTATCAATGGACCCTGACCAAGCGTCGCTCCTGGACGTTGATGGAGTGAGAGTGTGTTGCTCTAACGCTGGCTGGGGTCTGGCTGTTAGTGTATTTAATATGCTGCAGTGTTTTTTATGAGCGGAGCACGTATTTTAAATGCATTTTTTGAATGAAGACATGCGATGCTGATGAAGTTAGCGTTGTACTATGTGCTCTGTTTAGCCCCCGACGGCCCCAGCCCCTGTTCATAAACAAGCTTGAATTAAACACTCTCTCCTTTTTACTCCAAAGGCCCATGCCACTCAGTTATATGCATTTCAGTCACCAGTGTGTGTGTGTGTGTGTGTGTGTGTGTGTGTGTGTGTGTGTGTGTGTGTGTGTGTGTGTGTGTGTGTGTGTGTGTGTGTGTGTGTGTGTGTGTGTGTGTGTGTGTGTGTGTGTGTGTGTGTGTGTGTGTGTGTGTGTGTGTGTGTGTGTGTGTGTGTGTGTGTGTGTGTGTGTGTGTGTGTGTGTGTGTGTCGGAGCACACCAGCCCGGGCCTTGATCAGACCACACCCAGGCACAGAGCAGACTGGCACGGTTTGCTCGTCAACAGGTATATATATATATACACATAAATAAATGACGTTCGCAACAACTCAACCTTTCCACTAGTCAGTGCGCCCCATGCATGATACATTTATGAAGATGACCTGGTTAAACTGCTTAAAAACTAGCTAACACGTGGCTAAACTTGCTAACCCATAGCCACATACAAATACCTCATGTGAAACCAATATAACATTTGCAACTATTTAAACTTTTCACTAGTCAAACCGACACCACAAAGAATCGCCACTTGCCTGTCAGCCTTCCATCTGTGCACAAACTTATCTGGTGCCCTCATTGGTCATGTGCGCGTTCGTGTGTGTTGGAGGAGGGGCTCTGTGAGGAAGTGGCAGAGTTTTTCCGGCTGTGTATTTTCACATTCTAGCGCACTCGAGCTGGTTTCTCCAAAGTTACCTACCCCACCTTTAATTAGACCAATTAAAAAAAGTATTTTGATTAAATGACACAGTCGTTACACTTCTTCCAGTGTTCCAGATCCATGATGGTCTTTTCGTAGTCCAATGGGCGTTTGTGTGGTACAAGGTATTCTTTTAACAATGCTGCTGTAATCTGAAGAATTGGTTGTAATGGTCAGACATGATCTTGGTTCCATATACTGGTTTCTTTCTTTTCTAAAATGATACAAATAATCAGCTTGTAATGGTCTGAGCTGATGTCATCATGGCTTGAGATGGTTACGCATCTTCAAGTAGTCCAAACTACTTTTTGAATGGTAGAACTGAATGACTCTTGGATCATGAACTGGTTTCTTGATGCTATAACTTGGACCAAAATGCTCTTTAAATGGTCCAATATGATGTTATTGTGGCCTGAATGGGTTTCTTCATGAATGTATAGTCCAACAACCCTTTAGTTCTGAGACAATCCACTCTTGTACCAATAAGCCTGATTCCTCACCCTTATTGAATGCTTATATATAAATGTCTCTCCTTCCTCCATCAGAGCCGTGAACCTCTTTCCCAACCGGGTCATCGGGTGCATCGGGCAACATGTCAGAGAACCCGTCAAGGAAATCAACAAAATCCTGGGACTCCCGTTTCCTGGTGAGCAGCGCCCACGATCAGCTGATCACGGAGAAAACGACTTCTTCGCCGGACTCGTGGAGGAAGGAGGAGGAGGAGGAGGAGGAGGAGGAAGAAGAAGAAGATAGAGATAGTGGAAGTGATTAAAAAACTGGACGAACTGACTGTTGATGAACTGATATATAAGAACACATGATCACACATATGAAGTGTTGGACTGTAAAAAGCTTTTATAAATTCCCTGTCAGACTTGTAATGTATTTACTCTGATCAGATCGATCCTGATTTACACCAACATCTCTTTGTGTATTTAGAAAACTTACATATTCTTTGTTAAATAAAACACATTTTTCTTTGCTTTTCTTTTGGTATCAGTACTAAAAAGCAGGTATTGTATTAAAAAACACCATAACAACCAGCTCTATGTTCTGTCTGCTGGGTTTGAGAAACATGCTTTTGTAATAAACATGTAAATATTTACAACTTTGTCATATCATATCTCTTCAAATACAATGCATGGGTTTGTCAATTCTGCCCATTGTATACTCTATTCCTGAAGAAACACACTTGTACATCGTTTCATTCTGTATTTATTTTAACTTGTCGGTACCAGTACGTAACAAGAAATATGTCAGTCAATAAAAGTTGTGTATTAAACAGTGAAAGCACCAAAGTACTTACAGTACTAAAAGTAAAAGTACTCGTTCAATAGAATAGCCCATCCCTGAATCATAAATATTATAATATAATATAATTACTCAGAAATCGATTAATCAATGTGAACATAGCTTTAATATTGTGTGTATAGTTTGAATATGAAATCTATCAACTGTAGTGATCGCTGTTTATCACTGTTTATCATAATTCACTCATGGAACTACAGGTTGGGGGTATTGTTTCTGCACGGACATATATGTTGTTGACTGTACTTATTGTGTGCCCTCCTTGCTTCTTCCTCTTTGCTTCCCGGGCTTCAAGCCGGCAACATGTGGTTTTCTGCTGCTGAATAAAACCAACTTTGCACCTTCGATGCACCGCCTCCGACTCCCTTCTCTCGGCACTACACAACTAAATATAGTGTAGTAGAAAGTTAAATATGTGCCTCTTAATTATTATTACATGTCATTTGTTAGACGCTTTTATCCAAAGCGACTTACATACATTCAGTACTGTGGACAACCCCCACAGGAGCACTTTGAGGAGAAGTGTCTCAGGGACACAACGACATGCTGACTGCAGTGGGACTCGAACTTGCTACCCTCTGATTCGAAGTCCAGCACACTATCCTCTTAAAGGCTGTAAAGAATAATTTGGCATAACATCTACATTAAGGGTAATTAAAAATATCTTAACACGTTTCCTTGAAAGATAATAATTGTCTTTATATTTGTCTTTGTCCAAAATTCGTTTTATTTTACATTTTCGAACAGATTTACCCCGAGTTGGTATAGTCCAGTCTCCCCACACAATGGTACAGTCCAACTGCCAGCGGGAAAGCGCTGTTTGTCACGCAACACGATGTACCCGGTCACCATGGCGACAGAAGAAGGAGAAGGATCGTAGCTTAGAAACGAGAGAAAGCAGAGACTTTATCTCCGGATTCACACCATAACCCCTGGGTTTCTTACGGTATGTAAACCTTCTAATGTCCCGGTAAACTTGCATTAAGATAGATATGAACCACAGAGAGTTAGGGTCCAGCTACAGCTCAGGGTTTAGCCACATGCTAAAGTTAGCTTCAGAGCTAGCAGTCTGTATTTGTAAACAAAGACGAGCTGGAAATGAAACAAAACATACTTAAAAACGGGTTAAAAAACGTTTCTGATGGAAGGAAACGACCTGTTCTCTCTTTGAATGTGGTTTATACCTTTCAGATAACATCTAGCAACAGGTAAAGCCTTACAATGAACCGTTTCCTATGGTTGGAAACTATATTTTAAGGTCACTTTATACTCCTTAGCTACATATCAGAGATACATATTGTTCTTTTAATACTCTTTGTTTGTCTGGATTATATCTCACATTTGCATTAACAGTAATATATGTATAAATGCTACTAAATGAATGCAAAATATATGATACTCTACACAGAAACTACTCAGTGTATGTCACAGTTTACACTTCACCCTTTCTAAACACTGAATGGAATAGGTTTTTGATGCTTATACATTGAAATAAACGACCTGTTTAAACTTGAATGTGGTTTATACATTTCAGATAACAACTGTCAACAGTTAACGGTACAACAATAAACAGTGTTTCATGGTCTGAAAGTAAATAAAGTACATTTACTCAAATACAGATTGCAGGTAGTTGCATTAGCTTAAGTATTTTCATTTGATGTCACTTTATACTACTCCTTAATTACATACCAGATATAAATATGTACTTTTAATAAGATAAGAGAAGAGTTACACATCATGTGAAACTAAAACTGGTATATATACATATATATAATGAATGAGTAAATGTGTCTTTCAGACGGCCCTTGATTACATGATGGTTATTAAGTCATCTCAATATATTTCTGTTTTCTTTCAGGCTGTTTCTCTGTCATTAAGGTGAGAGTTATCACGATGCCGGGGGAACACGGTGACCAGTTCAAACAGGGAGACCTGGTGTTCGCCAAGATGAAGGGGTTCCCCCACTGGCCTGCCAGGGTACACACACACACACACACACACACACACACACACACACACACACACACACACACACACACACACAACACACACACACACACACACACACACACACACACACACACACACACACACACACACACACACACACACACACACACACACACACACACACACACACACACACACACACACACAACATAACTACGTACAGATGTGTATTCCTAGCTAACGTGATATTCTGTGTGTTCAGGTGTGTCCGTTTGTCGGCGGTGGAAGAAATAAGAGAATCCCAGTCTACTTCTTCGGGGAGCATCAGATGTACGTACACACACACACACACACACACACACACACACACACACACACACACACACACACACACACACACACACACACACACACACACACACACACACACACACTAATCCTGACAGCAAAGACATGATGACTTCAAAGTGTAATATCCGTCCTCAGAAGAACGATCCCTCCGGAGAACATCGTGCCGTACGTCGGGAACAAGCTGAAGTTCGGCAGCGGCGTCCGGATCAAAGGCTTCACTGAAGCCATGTGGGAGATCCAGAACACGCCCGCCGTGGGGAGCAAACTCAAAGTAAGAGTCGCTTATTAAAACTGATATTCTGTTAAATCCTCTCTCTTCATTAGACTCCAGTTTACAACCAGCTGCTCTCACCTTAAAGTGCAGCAGCTTTACTCGACATTGAGAAACGGCCAGTCCCTCTCCGTTTCTCAATGTGAAGTATACCTGCTGCAGAGCCACTATTTCAAGTATACTACGTCATCGAGTGGCGCCGAAGGACTGTTTAAATGCATGTTAAGTGTCCAGCATTCGGCGCCACTCGATGACGTAGTATACTTGAAATAGTGGCTCTGCAGCAGGTAGACTGGACATTGAGTAAGCATACTGTGCCTCCTATGTACAAGGTTAACATTGAAAGTGACGATGATATGTCCCAATGCGTCTCAATGTACATGTTACTCCAGCTGCATATCAGTTTACTCCACTCAAATGGCGCAAAACTCACGTTCCATGGACAGACGTGTAATACACTCAAATTACAATAGATGGATCTCTAGACTAATTTATAACATTTGTAAAAAATGTTGTTAACACTCTGGGTGTGTGAGACGAGTGAACCAAAACGTAAAACCTCCGCAATTAAAACAGTTTAATCGAGTTTGAGCACTAATATACCCATGTTCTGAACACTTTAGCGGGGTCAATGTGTTATCTTTTCACCCTGGTCCTGAATTAAAACAGTTCACCCGACTTTAAACACTAATGTGCCCATGATTCAGACACTTATTCCTGGGTCAATGTGTTCTCTTCCCCCCCTGGGTGTGTGTATGTCTGCCTGGAAGTGTGATAAGCTGCTTAAAGCAGTGATTCTGCTGTTTTTAGTTTATTGTACATTTAATAAATTAAATATGATTAATATGTACATTGTTCTGTCTATACTGACACGTTTATGTCCATAACTCCGGATGTTTATGTCGTCCAATGTACACAGTCTAAAAACGACAATAACGAGTTAATTAAAACATTTTGGCCGCTCATAGGCGGCCTGCCATGCGCACCTTGAGTCCCCGGGCCCCCTGACTTAAGCACACTGCCTTGGACAAAACCCCATGTGCATAACTGCCAGACAAGCGTGCCCTTGGTAACCTAAAAATATGAAAAGTGTCTGAGTGTCAGGAGTCCGCAGTTGGATGCTTAAGGGCGGACGGTAGACCACCACAAAATCCACCCCTTGTTAGTCTTACCAGGGGCACGAGGTTCTGGAGGGTGTGAATATCTGGGTTTAGTCCGTGGGGGAGTGCTTAACTGCGGGGGCCCGGGGACTCACGGTGTGCAATGTTATGGAGGTGCCACTGTTAGGGGGACATGCTGGTGGTCATTAGTCCGTCCTTCGGGGCTCTGTGAGCGGGCAAAGAGAGGTGGTTTTCCCGGTCTCCGCCCTGGAGGTGTGAAATAAACAGAGTCCCACTGTTAGGGACTGCTGCTGGAGGTCTCCTGCATTTAAACAGATTCACCAGTTTATAACATTACTTTAGCCCTGATCAGAGCCCTGTTTTCTGGGTAAGACAGTGAGGTGCTGTACCCTGGGTCTCTGGGTCTCTGGGTCTCTGAGACCCTGCTAACAGCAGTGATTCTGCTGTTTTTAGCTCATTGTACATTTAACTAATTAAATATTATTAATATGTACATTATCCCGTCTATACTGACACATTTATGTCCATAACTCTGTATGTTTATTGAGTCCAATGTACACCGTCTAAAAACGACAATTGTGACTGAATTAAAACAGTTTGACAGCATTGTAACACTCATGTAGCCATGTTTGCAGCCCTGTTCCCTGGGTAACAATTGAATTACCCTCTCCTGTTGAATTAAAACATTTCCCACGGCTTTAAACACTAATATACCCATGATTCAGACACTTATTCCTGGGTAAATGTGTTATCTTTTCACCCTGGTCCTGAATTAAAACAGTTCCCCCGACTTTAAACACTAATGTACCCATATTTTGCCCACTTATTACTGGGTTAATATATCATCTTTTCCCCCTGGGTGTGTGTGGCACCATCTGGTGGAACATTTGTGAATTACACTAAAATCCAAAACTTTAATGTTTTTTATCTTAGCGAAATAATGGTTTAATGACCCCAATGTAATGATCATTTATGATTCTGCAGATGTTGTCTACACGTGTATCACAACGGCTTATTTTTAGAGTGATTTGGAAAACTCGGTTAGCGAGGTTTATTTATGTCAATATGAGATGCACTGTTTTCATGTCCCATGTACATATCTGTACATATGGCCTCACGCACTACCAACATATACTAACGCAGAGAAACGGCCTCTCTCTCCTCTTGGGTCGCTTGGCTCTACTGGACCTTGGTTCAAGGTTCAAGGTTCTTTATTTTGTCATACGACCATAGCTACAGTGTAGTTATGCTGATGAAAATCTTAGGTCACAGGCTCCTCCAACAGAGCAACACAATAACACAGAAAAACAGAAAAATATAGTGCAAGTAAATAGTAAATACAAAAAGAAAAATAGTTTTAAAAAGTGAAATAGTGCAATAAGAGTCTATATGCAAGTTATTGGAATGATATATTAGATACATCATTTCTAAGTAGCAGCCAGATGAATGTTATGGATGTTGTTTCAGCAGTTCAGGTGTTTAACAGTCTTCTGGCCTGTGGGATGAAACTGTCTCTGAGTCTGGTGGTTTTAGTCCGGATGCCAGACGGCAGCAGACGGAACAGTTTGTGGCTGGGGTGATGGTGGTCTTTTATAATCCTGAGGGCTTTCTTCCTGAGCCGCTGGGAGTAAAGGTCCTCCATGGATGGCAGCTCCGTCCTGGTGATGTTCTGTGCCGTTTTCACCACCCTCTGTTTGTATACAGATACATGTTCACACACCCACACACTATACACATGACTGATTAACTGACTTCATAGTTAACTTAGTTTCTTTAAATAAATATACTTTAATTGGATGAATCATGTGTGGTCTCCTTCTGTTGTCCGTCCTTGAGCCAGGGCGTGACATGGGGGCTCGTCCAAGTCAAATGTTGTTACTATGTATTTTCTGTGCTCATTTAGGTTGGAGTATCACACATGGATGTAGAGTCCTCTCCTGCTGATGTTCAGGTGTATATCAGTATGTAGTGTCTCTACTTTAAAGAGTCCTCTCCTGCTGATGTTCAGGTGTATATCAGTATGTAGTGTCTCTACTTTAAAGAGTCCTCTCCTGCTGATGTTCAGGTGTATATCAGTATGTAGTGTCTCTACTTTAAAGAGTTCTCTCCTGCTGATGTTCAGGTGTATATCAGTATGTAGTGTCTCTACTTTAAAGAGTCCTCTCCTGCTGATGTTCAGGTGTATATCAGTATGTAGTGTCTCTACTTTAAAGAGTCCTCTCCTGCTGATGTTCAGGTGTATATCAGTATGTAGTGTCTCTACTTTAAAGAGTCCTCTCCTGCTGATGTTCAGGTGTATATCAGTATGTAGTGTCTCTACTTTAAAGAGTCCTCTCCTGCTGATGTTCAGGTGTATATCAGTATGTAGTGTCTCTACTTTAAAGAGTCCTCTCCTGCAGCTGTTCAGGTGTATATCAGTATGTAGTGTCTCTACTTTAAAGAGTCCTCTCCTGCTGATGTTCAGGTGTATATCAGTATGTTGTGTCTCTACTTTAAAGAGTCCTCTCCTGCTGATGTTCAGGTGTATATCAGTATGTAGTGTCTCTACTTTAAAGAGTCCTCTCCTGCTGATGTTCAGGTGTATATCAGTATGTTGTGTCTCTACTTTAAAGAGTCCTCTCCTGCTGATGTTCAGGTGTATATCAGTATGTAGTGTCTCTACTTTAAAGAGTCCTCTCCTGCTGATGTTCAGGTGTATATCAGTATGTAGTGTCTCTACTTTAAAGAGTCCTCTCCTGCTGATCTTCAGGTGTATACCAGTACGTAGTGTCTCTACTTTAAAGAGTCCTCTCCTGCTGATGTTCAGGTGTATATCAGTATGTAGTGTCTCTACTTTAAAGAGTCCTCTCCTGCTGATGTCCAGGTGTATATCAGTATGTAGTGTCTCTACTTTAAAGAGTCCTCTCCTGCTGATCTTCAGGTGTATACCAGTACGTAGTGTCTCTACTTTAAAGAGTCCTCTCCTGCTGATGTTCAGGTGTATATCAGTATGTAGTGTCTCTACTTTAAAGAGTCCTCTCCTGCTGATCTTCAGGTGTATACCAGTACGTAGTGTCTCTACTTTAAAGAGTCCTCTCCTGCTGATGTTCAGGTGTATATCAGTATGTAGTGTCTCTACTTTAAAGAGTCCTCTCCTGCTGATCTTCAGGTGTATACCAGTACGTAGTGTCTCTACTTTAAAGAGTCCTCTCCTGCTGATGTCCAGGTGTATATCAGTATGTAGTGTCTCTACTTTAAAGAGTCCTCTCCTGTTGATGTTCAAGTGTATATCAGTATGTAGTGTCTCTACTTTAAAGAGTTCTCTCCTGCTGATGTTCAGGTGTATATCAGTATGTAGTGTCTCTACTTTAAAGAGTCCTCTCCTGCTGCTGTTCAGGTGTATATCAGTATGTAGTGTCTCTACTTTAAAGAGTCCTCTCCTGCTGATGTTCAGGTGTATATCAGTATGTAGTGTCTCTACTTTAAAGAGTCCTCTCCTGCTGATGTTCAGGTGTATATCAGTATGTAGTGTCTCTACTTTAAAGAGTCCTCTCCTGCTGATGTTCAGGTGTATATCAGTATGTAGTGTCTCT